TGTGTGTACGTTTATATATTGGATCGGATTTCCTACATTTTTCAACCGATTTCAACAAAACTTCACAGGACTGCGTAAAATTACCTTGCGGTGGTTCTGACAGCGCCAAAAAAATTGGAAAAACACAATTGTTTTTTCACGAAATCAATTTGAAAACACGATTCTGTCGCCAGAATGAAAGGGGGACAACTCATATCGAGTTATACTTATAAAACCCAGGTTGTGTGTGTGTGTGTGCGTGTGTGCGTGTGTGTGTTCCTTTATATATGGGATACGATTTCCTACATATTTCAACCGATTTCAACAAAACTTCACTTTTTTTTGGCAGGTAGTGTTTCTTATTATCTTGCACACTTTTTTTCTTTATTTTTACATTCAGAATGCTTTAAAAATTCCATTTACAAGACAATTGTTTATAATAAAATTCTATTTAATCGGTAGACTCATAACGATTAAAAACAATGTTTTTGTTTGAGTTTGGGTTTGACCAATTCGTAAAAAAAAAAAAAAAAAAAACAAATTAAGACATGCGTGTCCGTCAACCTTAAACAATAATCTTTATCAATTTTATTTTTCAGTCTTTATGATGGTCGACACTTGATCTATCGCTTACTGTTACATCCCCGGGCAACGCCGGGCTCTACTGCTAGTTTTAAATAAACGCCCTCCACTGCAGAGCCTCCATTGTTGTTGAAACTTTCCTGTCTCTGTTTTACCGACATTTCACTTGCACCCCATGTTTACGCATCTTTGTATATTTTCAGGTGACTGGATTTTGACGACAGAGTTGTTCCTCTCCTAGACTGGTTGCCAATCATGGTAAAGAGCTAAGTTTACCCTGAAATTTAAACCATATTTTTGAACATCCACATATTTCTGTACGGTACGGGATTAAGGAAACCACTTGATTCTAGGCCTGGAAATAATCTTTGAGTGCATTCAGCAATGTGAAAAAGAAAGAATTAACAATTTCACAGGATCTGCTGTCACTTGACATCTTTTTATTTTATTTGATAAAAAACACGTAAAATGTTATTTGATAAAAAAAACAAGGAAAATATTATAAATCAACTTGAAAAACCGAAAAAGCTTTATAATCAGCAGTTATGTGAATAATTCCGAAACAGTAACCGTCATCGCTATTAACGCACCGTGATTAATGAACTGAGCACTATAGCTGATGGCGTTTGTATACATTCGTATATAATAGGTTAGATTTTTCCTTTCTCTGCTATGTACCGATAGCTTAGGGGTAGGATCTCCGACTGATGCCAAATCGGTCGAGTTTTGAAGGAATCGGATGTCTAGTCACACTGTTGAGCTGTGATACAGCGAAACAGGTTTGTATGTGGATTACTATATATGTGTGTGTGTGTATGTGCGGTAGTAGGATGTACATATATATATATATATATATATATAGTTGTTAGTAGGATGTAGAAGGATATCCGAATAAAATTGTAGAGAATTAATTCGTTATGTGTGTGTGTGTGTGTGTTTCATTAAAGACGATAGACAAGGTACTGCGATTAATTAAGCTTCTTATTTAATTTTTCTTCTGTTCGAACAATGTTTTCTTTTTCTGGGCACAGTGTGCGTAGAAACTGTCCAAATGTTCTGTAATTCCGAGCGCTTTCGGCGCTCGGAATTACAGAACATTTTATTTTATTTTAATTTTAGCCATTATCAAGGATGGCGCTGTTTTTGCTTTTTCATTCGGTGTATGGGTTGTATGCATGCTTCTAGAGTTAGAGAGACGTTTTATTTTACGAACACAGTTAGAACATTGTGACCATTTTCGTAGTTAATATTATTGAGTGTTTTTTTTTTCTTTTTTATTATTAAGGCTTCCATTATTTTTAATCTTTTTTTTTTTTACATGTGGATGGGGTTATTATGTTTGTGTTTTCTACTAGTATGTTTCGGATGGAGTCTGGTAAGCTTGTGTGTGTTTTTAAATGGGTTCTAATCGAGCTGTGGTCGGATAGAAAAAATAGAAACATACACGCAACGCATACACCCAATTAAAAAGCAAAAATAAAATCATCCTTGATAACGGCGAAAAGTATAGCCGAAAGCACTCGGAATTACAGGACATTTAGACATTTCCTTCACACTCTGTGTCCAGAAAAGAAAACACTTGTTCGAACACAAGAAAAATGAAATAAATGCTTAATCGCAGTACCTTGTATGTCGCCTTTAATAAAACATATATAAATGAAGAATTGCTTCCTAAATACACAATAATATATATATATATATATATATATATATATATATATATATATATATATATATATATATATTATATATATATATATATATATATATATATATATTTATATATATTATATATATATATATATTATATATATATTTAGTTATATATGAAATATATTTATAAAAAAAAGGAAATTTATTATATCCGACGTGTTTCGTTCTCTCATGGACTTTATTATGGGCGCATTTGCCTTGATAAAGTTCATAAGAAAGATGAAAGGTGTTATCTAAGATAAGTATTCCTTTTGTCTCTGTTCATATTGTCGTTTTACAGGTATATATTTATTATATATATGAAATGTTATATATATATATATATATATATATATATATATATATATATATATATATATATATATATATATAACATTTCATATATATATATATATATATAACATTTCATATTTCATATATAACTAAATATATACCTGTAAAACGACAATATGAACAGAGACAAAAGGAATACTTATCTTAGACAACACCTTTCATCCTCTTATGAACTTTATCAAGGCAAATGCGCCTTAATAAAGTCCATAAGAGAACGAAACACGTCGGATATAATAAATTTCCTTTTCTTTAAATATATATATATATATATATATATATATATATATATATATATATATGTATTAAAGATATTACATACGGTCAAAAAAGTACTCACGACAAAGTTGCATTTTTGTTCCTCACCTGTCAAGATGCGTTCTCATCGAACCAAAAATGCATCTTTGTCGTGAGTATTCATTTTTTAATTGCTGGCTTTTAAAAAGAATTATTTGCCAGTTCAATAATAAAATTCTCAAAAAATAATACTTGATCGATTTTCAAAATGCAAGTTTCAAACCAAACTAAATCATATCACTTTTAGGTCCCATGTTTCGACAGATATTCCCTGAAGGCTTTTAAAGGCAAACTAATTGAGTCACCGTCCTTATATGGTTCCACAGAATACGGTCATTGGATAATAATTAAATGGCTTCTTCATAAAAGTAAGCAATTTGTTGAGCGTATCCCTGAATATAAAATGAGCATATTTTTTTTTTTTGTTATATCTCTTTAGGCTTAGAACCTGACCAGATAGTGATCACTCCTGGCTGGTTCTTCTGGGAAAGGCGGTTTGATATTTTAGAGGCGCGAAACCCCCAATGAAACCAAAAATAAACATTTATGATGAAGCTTCCCGGCCCATCGCAATGGTATTTGAGAAGTTTATAATAATTATAAAATATATTAGTTACAAGTTATATCATGGGAAAACAAGACTTGTTAAATTGTCTTTTGGTTTAGTTAATTAACTCAAGTAAATACATTCCTGCTCAAAATCTTAAGACCAGATACAAAAGGTTTTAAAAAATATATAAAATACTGTTTATCAACAAACAAGTGAAAATTTTAAGCTTTTAATTAATTAAACGAACACTGAAAAAGTGTTTTTTTTTTGTTTTTGTTTTTTTATAAAGATAAAAAGATAAGATACATTTTCTAATTAAATGTAAAATGTTTCGCAAATATATTTCGATTTAAATAACAGTATTTTATATTTTTTAAACCCTTTTGTATCTGCTCTTAAGATTTTTGACCAAGAATGAATATAAAATCGTTCAGAATTCTGATATGAGTTTCTAGTTAGTAAAATGTTTTTCTTTCTTTTTTTTTTTTTTGTGTATATTATTATCACTTTAGACAGAAGTGATGTCGGATCGATTTTTCTTTCTTTTTTGAGTGAAATCTAAGTTAGTAAACTTAGACGGGACGGTATTTGAAATGATAAGAATTAACTGTTTTTTCCTAAGTCTCGTCGGCCACTTGAATGAAATTAGAGTTAAACTAAAACGAATAAACTTTAGGTTCTTATCAAATATCAGCGACAAGTATCTTTAACTTTTAAGGAGTTTAAATTACCTAATAATTTAACTGAATACCTCATTGTCCGTCACGTCCTTTACCAAGCGACGCGTCCCTCGATAACACATCAGGCCGACACCGAAAAATCGACTGGTATGGGAAGGTCTAGTCAGCTACTATTAAGGTTTAGTCAGTCTATCTATTAACAACAATTTAATAAAATCTATAATTTAAAATTTCTCGAGCTAGAAATGATTGGATTTTTATTATTTTGACCAGGAACAGAGAAGATGAAAACATGAGCGAAAATAGAATTTACTTACAAAATTATTTTAATGCCATGTCTCTTCAGGACATTGACAATCATGACTCTTCATAGATTCCATTTTTTAAGAATCTTTAGAATTGCCAAGACTTTTGGAAATGTTAAAGGGGGGGGATTTTATTTCTTCACGGTTTTGATTGCGGGTTTGTCGTTCAAGAATTGTTGCCACATAAGGCTAGAGAGACTAGTCTACTCTGCGATTTAACACATATGGGAAAACGTGATAGATTCAAACCTTTCCCAATGTCATTAGTGCGATATTAAAAGCAACAAATTAGGTGGAAATTTGAACTCGTCCCAACGATTCATCTTCGGCGTCGATAACTGTCACGCTGGTCGCATATAAAATTAGGTGGCCTAAAAGACTGAATTAGAAAGATGAGTTAGAAAGATTGTCTTTCAGAACATATGAGATTCTGAAACAGCTACTATACTTACATCTCCTCTTCTGTGAGTCGTATGTGCTGTTTTATACCGTAACAAAACTGGCACTTTCCTTTCACTGTCCATACAAGCGCCCTACCTTCCCTGATAAAATATTCTTCCCTACCTAATTTATCGTACAGAATTTGGGTAATGTCACCTTCTACAGAATAGAGAAAACTGTTGTTATCTCGCATATTCGTCAAAACGACGAGCGCCCGACCGCTGATCCGAACCTTCATATTAAAATCAGCTGTAAAACTCTCTTCCTGTACTTCTAGAGATGCGGTCACACGATATCCTTCCCTAACACGTATCGAACTGTTCGCTGTCCAAGTTAGGTGTTTCTCTTGTGTTTGTTCGGTTCCTTTGTTCATGTGAACCTCTTTACCAAAACCGGTCGTCACCTGCAAATAAAATCACAGACAAAAACGTTAAACAAAGTGGTTAAAATGTATTTTAATACATATTTATATTTGCTATATTATACTCAAAGGGCATGGCGTGTATCGTCAGAGGTAGTACATTATCAGCAAAGCTGTCGAGCCTGCTTTACCTAGGTGACTTGGGATGCGGGACTGAAATGGTCCATGCCCTACTTGCAGCTTTCACACATGACTCGAAGTAGTCGCAAGGGTACTGCGACGGACGCACCCTGGTCAATGTTATCGACATGCTGGCTAAACTGTGTAAGGGTAGTCTGAATGATTTCCCGCCTCGACCGGTGAACGATGGGAACGCTTTTCACCAACCAGCCAAGCGACTATTGGCCAGTTGCCAACCTCGGGGTAGGAGCTGAGCCTCAGAGGTGAACAGCTTTACCAGTAGGAGGAGGAACTTCTGAGAAGAGGCATTGAATAACCGTAACATCCCCGGTGCAAAAGAACTGCCGTGCTATTGCACTATTCTGCTTTGAATTTCACCATGAAACAAAATTACGAGCAGCAGCACAAAATGCACTAATTGAATAAATGATTATGACTAATATCAGTCAGTTAGTTATGTGCCATGCGTGATACACGCTTAGGCGATCATGTATCTTTCAATACATGACTGACGAGGCAGATTTTTTCCCGTAGATTGCCATGTCTTTCTGTGGCAAACCAGTTGCCATCCAAGGCTATAGAAGCCGGAGTGTCCTGCTATTTATCCATAGCTGGGGGGAGAAGGGGAGGATTCATACCGTTCCCATCCAAAGCGTATTAGCTCGCAAGTGAATGTAATGGAAACGACTGGAATTCGAACTCGGCTCTCCGATTCCCCAATCCAAGACGCTGCATCCTAATATACTAATCTTTATTATACATATAAAAATAGAGTATTTGTCCAAATGTAAGTAATGAAAATAATAACTTCTCATCCAAGAAATTTAGGCAGAAAATATTGTTATATATAACTTTAATAGTAATAATTTTATCATCATTATCATCATCAGCAGCAAGACCAGCAGCAGGAACAGCAGCAGTCCCATGACCAGTTTTGGTCGTAGGGTTACTAAGCAACCAATCACCTGACGAGTTCCCTTTGTATATTTGAACTGAACACCGAAGATTGATTATTATATTGATTCAAGCGTAGCCAGTTTTCGGCAAGTTGACCTGACGGTCCCCATTTTTCTCAAGGCCAAACCACAAATTTTAAACCGAATTTAAAACACATTTTTTTAAATTCATTAAATTTTCGCTTTACTTTAAATTCGATAATAAACTCGAAAATAAAAACTTTAAAAAAATTTTTTTTCAATTATTCTAAAATTTGAATCTTTAACATGAGCGCTAATCCGGCTACAAATCCGATTACTGGATGTTCAAAGACCAGATGAACGGCAGATTTTCAATCTCGGGATCATCCTAATTCCAAAAGGGTATATGTCAACGTAGAGCAAGTGTGAACCGAATTAGAGGGATGGACCGCGAAAGGAAAGTGTCGGTTTTGTTACGGTATCAGACAGCACATACGACTCACAGAAGAGATGATCTAAGTATAGTATCTGTTTCAGAATCTCATGTGTTTTGAAAAATCATCTAATTCAGTCTTTTAGGCCATCTAATTTTATATGCGACTAGTGTGACAGATATCGACACCGAAGATGACCACCTCGACACGGTGTAATGGTTAGAAAGCTTGTCAATTACGACTGAGTAGTGAGTTCGATCCTCACTGGGTGTCCCATACATTTGGCCTTGTGCCACATCTAAGCCGTGCTTAGAAAATCACTATCGACGCCGAAGATGGAATCGTTGGGACGAGTTCAAATTTCAGCCTAATCTGTTTAATTATTTAGATTAATGAACTGATTTCAAATTTAAATATTACAGACAGACATGATTAGCTGAAACCGCTTATTTTAACTCTGATTCTTTGGCCTTTTGATTTGATTATTTAGATTGAAGACGACATCAAAATATAATAGAAAAACTTATAAAACAAGTGACGAAGACTCTGAACAAACGGTATTACCTCCATTAAATCATTAGGGACTGCTAATTTCAATTCGACATTTATTCCTTTCGTGAATCCCTTTTCAACGAAGATAGTACACGTCGAAGTTGTAGATCTTTCAGTGGTAAATGAATTATCTTGAGGGGCCGACGTACAGTTCTCGTAAGTGGAGTTGAAGACTACTTGTGAATCTTCATGGACATTTCGATCTTTGTTGATATATTCGGGTTCGAGGCATGAAATGTCAATTCGATTCCACTTAACTTCCAGTTTGACGTCATTGTATTTAAGTTTCTGGGACTCTTTGCTGTTCGCTTTTTGAAAAGCTGTCCATGCCCAGTCTTTTAGAATTACTTCGATGTCCACCACATCTGGGGAAGTCATGATACTGGTCAGGTCGCTGTAATTAGAAGAAAATCGCAATTAATAAATTTCGTATTAATATTTTTTTAAATATTTAGAGGGTACACATGTTTGAGTGGATATATCGTTCATATTTTTTAAACAGTGGACTAAATGTCGACCAGCCTATAGATAGAAAGAAAATATGCCCCCACCTCATGAATCAAAACTGTATTCGCTTTGTAACTTGGAAAAAAATCTTTCCAGCCAAGTATACCTAGAATTTATCAATTTAAGCGCAGTACTAGATTGGTAGCAAGGTCTCATCATTTTAAAATGTTTTTCTTCATCGCACTTCTTGCTTATGGAATTGTCTTCTTGCTTCTCCGTCTTCTTGCTTCTCAGTCAACTATGGGACAATATCAATCGTTATATTGTTTTCTTAATTCTTGTTCTTTTATTGTTCTCTCTTCTTAATGTTTTTTTTTTTTTTTCTCATATGCTCTAGCACTCAATACCCTCTCCCACTTGCTTTATTGCCTTGTTTGGGGTAAGATGATTAAAAAAAAGTATACTTTTAAATTAATCTAAAGGGGAGCCATAACAGCAAAACATGGACCGATAATTCTCGATGTGGTATTCCAATGTCTATATGCAAACTTTATTTTCCCATAAAGAAAATAATTTTAAACTCATTTATTAATGTGACATGATTTTTATTACTATAAACTTTATAATTAGTGGGTACCGATATTTCTGTAGGCATCCAAGTACTTTTCTTGTAAAGTTAATATCTACCGGCTTAGTAATCAAAGTTCTTATTTAAGAAGATTTGACGAAGGATGTGCATTTCTTAAATAGGATAACTGAGGTTTGCATTTTTCTTTTAGCTATCCCATAGCTTAATGGTAAAACATCCTTGACATGAAAGTGGTTTCCCAGATTAAAAAGTGAATACAGGCTTGAATTCTTTTGGGAGTCACACTTTATTTAGTGACAATTTCGATCTCTAGGCTGATACATATTAATTTCACTTGTTTTTAATTTAATTTTTTTTTTTTTTTTTTCAAACGCCTATACCCATTACATATAACATTTGTAGTAATTAAGTTATTAATATGAACAATAAATGGTGGTCAAATGCTATGCTATTTTCGCAGTCAATAAAATGCAAACTTTGACAAAATATCAAGAATCTATCTAACATATTTATAAGTCTACCATTAGTCTTAGGTTTGAATATTGCTCTCACAAGTAGTCTGGCGCTCCTGCTATAAGTTTAAAAGTTCTTGATAAAAACCAAAGCATAATCTGCAATGTTACTGGTCCTGATCTGGCATCTGGATTTCAGTCATTTTCCCAACACCATAACGTAGTTTCCCTGAGCCTTTTCTAAAAAATACTTTCAGGGGAGTTGTTCTGATGGACTTTCCTCTATAGTACCTGGACTTTATGAATTTAAGCGCAGCACTAGATTGGCAGCAAGGTCTCATCATTTTGTAGTTGAGATGGCTAGATGTAATGTAAGTTCTATGCTAAGAGTTTCTTCTATCGCACTTCTTGCTTGTGGAACTCTCTACCGGCTTCCAAGTCAAATTTGATCTTCAAAAATTTTAAATGTTAATCGTTATCTTCTGTCATCTTAAGTCTTGTTCTTTTTCCTTTTTCTATTTCCTTAATAGAATATGTTTTCTCATATTCTCTAATACTCAGCAACATTTTGCGTCTTAGTGGATTTATTGCTTTGATTGGAGTGAAAATAATAAAAAAAAAATGAAAATAGGCAAACTGACGAAAACGTATTTTTTCTAATTTACTACAACAATTAAAAATAAACAATAATGTCATTTATTTGTTCATAATCAGTAGAAATGTGATAGTGACGTTTAAGATAGAATATGCATGTATGTGGGTAAAAATGGTCAATTCCCAGAAGACTCAGCAGCAGACTTTCTCTTTTAATACAATGTGGAAGTGCTACCCGGATAATGAAATCTCCAATGGAGTTACGTGATCAATCCTAAGATCTGATAGTACTTGAAAATGCACAGCCCAGTTCAGCAGAAGAAACGGACAGGTGACACAAATAATAATGCTAATCGTCAGTATCAACCGATATAAGCTTTAGTTTAAACACACCTGGTTCTCTGGCAGTTGTGAGTTCAATCCTTAGTCTGGTCGTGCTGAAAAGTCACATAGTCAAGTTCAATGGAAGAAATGGACAAGTGAGACAAAGGTACCATTATCAACCGATGTCAGCATTGTTTAAAACACAAAGTGCCACAAAGGCGAATAAAGCTTGTGACTAATTAACTGATATAAATGATCCCTTAAACATCGAAATATCATTAATTAGATTTATCTATATATAAAATTCTATGACTTCTGTTAGCCCGTCCGTCACACCCGCTAAAATAGACAGTGACCAATCTAAACCAAATTTTAGGAAGTGCAAACAAGCAAGGGGGTAGAAAGTAAAGTTGCTTTTACTAGAGTGCGTACGTTAGTACAATAAATTTTCATTTACTTTTTTTTTTTTTTGAAAAATTAAAAGTTTTATTATTTAACATACAAAATAGACCCACTATTTTAAAAACAATTTAGTGATTAAAATAAATATTTATTTAATAAAAGTGACGTATTTTTTTTTTTTTTTTTTGTATATCTTTTAAGTTTTTATATATACAAGAATCCAGTTTCTGCATTTGCAAGAACTATAAACAAATCACAACGCCAAACGCTTCAAAAAGTTAGAATTTGGCTCCAGAAAGAAATATTTATGCATGTTCTGTCCCATGTTGCAGATTCAAGAGTAAGAAATCCTAAGAATTTATTCTTCATTGGTAAAAAGAAAAAAATACATTTTCTTAAAAAATATTGTTAAGCAAGTTCATAAAATTAAATTAAAGAAATTATTAAACCGTGAAGTAGGTTTTTGTCAAAGTATTCAAGTCGAATCCATTACATTCATTCACGTGCTAATACCCTTGGGAAAGGTATGAATCCTCTTCTTCTCCCACACCCCGCCAAGCTTTGGGCAAATAACAGGACAAATCTGGTTTTAGAGCCTTGGAAGGCAACTGGTCTACCGAAGAAAGAAATGGCAACCTACTTCGGGAAAAAAATCTGCCGCGTCAGTCATGTATCGAAAGATAGATGATCGCCTAAGCGTGAATCACGCGTGGCATATAAGTGTCTGATATATATATATATATATATATATATATATATATATATATATATATATAGAATAGAATAGAATACTGAAAAGATATTGACCCAGTCAACTTCCAAAATTATGACCAAACAAACTTTTAGGGAATATAGGCATATACACACACATATATATATTACATACACTTACGTGCTAATACTCTTGGGAAAGGTATAGATCCTATTCTTATCCATCCCCAACTATAAGTAAATAGCAGGACAGACCGGGTTCTATAGCCTTGGAGGGCAACTGGTCTACCAAAGAAAGAAATGGCAACCTACTGCAGGAAAAAAATCTGCCTCGTCAGTCATGTATCGAAAGATACATGAATGCCTAAGCGTGTATCACGCATGGCACATGACTGACTGAGTGACTCTTGGGAAAGGTATGAATCCTCCCCCCCAGCTATGGGTAAATAGCAGGACTGACCGGGTTTTATAGCCTTGGATGGCAACTGGTCTATCCCAGAAAGAAATGGCAACCTACTGCGGGAAAAATCTGCCTCGTCAGTCATGTATCGAAAGATAATGTCAAGATTTCAACACGCGATAGGACGTTGCCAAAAAAATCTCTCGTATTATAAAAGTGATGGTTCTTAGTCACACACGTGTGACTTTGTATGTACGTACGTAATGTATACGTATATGTCTGTGTTGTAAGTGACTTAATGTTCATACCATTTAATGTATACACAAGCACATGCATATATACACACACATTATGTGTTTATCATTGTATCACTTCCTAATCATTCTAATGTGTGTGTGGTGTAATGGTTAGCGACTCGGAATGAGAACTCGGTAGAGCCGAGTTTAATATTCCAGTCGGGTGCGTAACATTCCCTTATGCGCATATTTCCTTGGTAGACATATTGGATCAATTGCCTCCCCCAGCTATGGGTGAAATAGTAGAACTTGCTTCTAGAGAAATCAATTTTTATTCTCAAAAGAATATTAATGCTATATTTACTCGAAAAAAAAAAAAGAATTATTCCTGCAATCCAAAACCATTTTCGTCTTTAAATAACCCACTAAGGGTTGATAACCCGTAAAAAACAAATCAAACCGTAAATCCAACTCACTCTAAACAGAAAAACGCCTTAATATTTTAAAGCCTAAAAAACAGATAATATTATATTGAATTTTTCGGAAATTGTTCAGTAATAAATAAAATTATTTTAAAAACTTTTTTAAAGATTTTGTAGAAATATTTTTAGATCTATCATTGAATGAAATTATACACACTCACACGTACAGACACAATTTGAATGAAATTGAAACTGTCATCTGTTTCGCAAGAATTAATTTCTCTGACGCTCTGACAACAACCCCTGGGGAACAAGAAAATCGGATAAGCCGATCTTTTGAATCATTTTACGGGTCCCTTTCTATTTAAACCAAACATATTTTCTAATAAATCTGATCTAAATGAACAAAGAATGTAGATTTGAAATTAGATCGACTTACCG